TAAAATGGGAGCTCACCCATGAGCATGGGAATGAGGAGCTCAGTATTCAAAAGCAGTCTCCACTTCTGTGCTAATTAAAAAGCAGACAAATCAACATGCAGTCAGATAATCCTGCCATCCTCATCAGCAATACCTATTCCTGTTACTTTATGAAGCAAAGCTAGTAAAATGTGTCTTTCTGTTCATAAGCTTACAAAAAGAATTACAGAGAGGCCAAAAATTCCCTCAGGTAATTGGTACCTTCTTGATGAGTGATCCTGGAATCATACCACTTGTCTCTGCTTCAGTGCCACAACTGCATCATCCCTTTAACAGCCATAAACAGGAAGATAATAATTTTCACTCCTCTCAGTTCTCCAGGAAAAAATCTGATGGTGCTCGTGGGAAAAGTGAGAACAGAGACACAACTATATCAGTTTGACTCGTTTCAGAGGAGGCATCTTCCCTCTGATGGCAAAAAAAAAAATTCACAAAGAGATCACAACGGGCATGCATTTGCGAAATGGAAACAAACTTTAGGCAAAACAACAGCTTCCTATACAGCATTGTTTCATTCAGAGCCTCTTTAAAAAGCTCTCTAACTAGTGTTCTGAAAACCTTGTAATTTGCAATTTGTCCTAAATCTTGTAGTTTCTCAGATTTAGAGCGAGCCTGAGCTGCAAAGCTGTGGGTTCAATCAGTTGGAGATCTTTGCATGGGTGTACAGGGATGACAGGGAATGGAAAGCTAGTTTGCCTCAAGTTCATCTCTCACATGAGTGACTTCATCTTGCTTCTTTTTGTGTAACTCTTTCGGAAAAATACTTTAATAAAATACAAGTGAAAACATCAAGTAGGAACAACTGTGAAAATCAAAGGGACCTGATTATGACAACCAAGAAAATGAATAGGCAATTCATAGTCTAGGAAACAGTAAGGCAAAGGAAATGTCCTTGACTTGGTCAAGGAAAGGCAAGCTCATTTCATAGTATCTCTGGACTTTGACTACCAGTGAAGGAGAAATCTCTTATCTTTATAGCAAAGAAAGAGAACAAAATACAAGAATGATTTTATTTTAGGACATAAAGCTATCACTATATTGACATCTAATGGTACTTGCTGGCAATATAAAAGAGATGGAAAGGGAAATTACCCAGTGCATAGGTTTGAATGGGTGATTTCTCAATGCCAAAGACTTGAGGAAATTACACAGAAAAACATAAATGTTTTAAGTCTTATTTTAAGAATACTATTTCTACCTTTTACCAGAACGAATTGTTTTCTCAATTTCTGCTCAATATTTTATCCATACATAATAATATTGGTACCTGTGCGCTGTGCATTAATAGTCAGACCCCACAGTAAATCATCTTTTGTGCCAAATGACAAACAGGCAAAAGCAAACTACCGGAGACACAACTCATCTAGAGAACTTCTGCTAAGATTCTCCTCATCTTGCAAAGACTTTCAAAATACAGTAACTCTGCTAAAATAAAGTTCCCTTGTGCAGCTCCAGAGCTGTGAAAAAGTAGTTAACACTTAACATCTGATCAGCAGAATGGGCTCCAGATACCCCTTCCATCTTGTTCTCTGCTGGGTGTATTAACTAGGATTCCTTCATTGGGGTTATAAGACAAAATTGCGTTGGTTAATGTTCCACATTCATTTTTTCTTTAGAAAAGCCTTCCTAATTCAATTTTTCCCTCATGTTGAGGAAAGAAGTGTAATGTTATAACCACAAAGGTGTCGACTTCTTCACAATGAAAAAAATCAGACATAGGAATAATGTCCCCAGGGAAGTGATGGATTCCCCATCACTGGACAATTTTAAGATTCAGCTGGACAGGGTGCTGGGCCATCTTGCCTAGACCGTGCTTTTGCCAAAAAAGGTTGGACCAGATGATCTTTAAGGTCCCTTCCAACCTGGTATTCTGTGATTCTATGAACTGATAAGTGTGCTCTGAGGATTCCCAGATAAACCCCTGTAGATGAGATAGCCTGAGGAGGCCTGGTTAATAGCTCTTGATAAAGATTAGGGATTTTACTGTAGGGTCTGTAGATCTTTGGAAACAAATGCCTTGTACAAGAAGTCTCACGTCTTTCATAGGACTTTCTGGGAATCCTTTGCATCTCTAATCTGGTCTATAACAGGCACAGCAATGCAGGCCTGCAGTGCTGAGCGTGCGCAGCAGCACAGGATGGGAAAAATGGGGCTTGGAAGCAGCTAGCAACAGAGCTGGGCAGTGGAAGAAACCACTTAAAATGGAAGTCAGTCGGAGTAGATAATTTAAAAAATGTCTAGATATAATATTACATCCTTTAAAATTGTTTTTCAAGCCAAACTGCTTATCAAAATCAACACATTCACTATCTATTCTGTTATTTTATTGATTGCATTATTCACCAAAGAAAAGAAAAGAGAAAAATTGCTAAAAAAATCCCACCAGCATTAATGCTATACTGCTGCCTACATTATGGGAATCTATGATAGCTTCTTTGCATGCCTTATTCACCTTTTTCTGCATTAGCACAAAGCTCAAATAAAATGCATTTAGTTTTTGACTGCTTAAGCCATTAAGTATTTTGCAATGCTCTGAGGTAACCAAGGGATCACACCATAAAAACTTTAAAATAAACAAACTAAATTGTGCCACAAAGTTCACCATAGTGTAGCTAGAGTCAAGTTAGTTTAAATAGTTTAAGTGTAGGAAAAATACATCTATGGGATTGTGTTCAGGCCAGTACAGTATACCGTGACTAATTTCTTTAAGGGCTATCAGATGCAGCACTAAGTCAGCCAAAGGTGTAAAGTCCCTCTCAGAAGGGTGCTAAAGGAGCCTGGGTGTCAACGAGGCACCTGCTTCCCCGAGGGACTGAGTGCCCTCCGTCCCCAAGGCCTCCTGGTGGCTTCCAGCAGAGGAGCTGCCATGGGGTGCTGGCCTGCCAGGGTCCGCGCAGCCCCAGCGGATGCAGGACTAAGCTGTGCCATTTTGGGAGCAGCGACAGTGGCAGTGCTTTCTGTTCCTGCAGCCTGAAACGAGCACTTCCCTCACCACCAAACTATCGCCACCTGATGATCCCCTTTTAGCTATCCATTACGTTCCCTTCCTATTTTGTCTGGGGAGACCTACTGCTCACATTTGGGTAAAACTGTGAAATCAAGAGGCTGGAATATCTTATCCCTGATATTCACTGTATCAGGCAACATGTAGCTTCTGCTTAGTTTTCTTATAAACATACACACACACACTCTCCAGGGTGGAAATTTAAGAGTGAGCTGTGGAAAGCCC